GCTGAGAATTTCTAGTCTGTCCTCTCTATATCCATGATGGGTATCACTCACCTTGCAAATGGACGTGGTTCAGCCAAGTTGAAAACAAACGACTTCTCTAGAGTGAATGCCATATCTTACTAACATTTTAAAAGTTAATTTTGTCCTGTCCCAGATATATTACAATAGATTAGTTAAAATTTTGGATGAAGAAGGGATTAAGATAATTTCTAGAACATATATTGGGTATTGTCATATAGCTGCACTGCATATCTGTGGGGACATCCCAACAGTTCCTTTGTCACTCTTGTTGCCTTGTGTGTGACAGAAAAGATCTGGAGAGAAATGAAGTCAGGACACTTAGCTGTGGTCCCTCCAGTACCACCAAATCTGACCCAAGGGCGGAAAGAAAGACTTATGTCAAGAGTTTTTGTTCAGTCATTCAGATATTTAAGTGCTTAGTATAATGGTAGGCGCTGTACTCTAACCATTCAATCTTTGTATACCATACCAAAATATAGCATATATTACGAATATGACATAATCTAGTGTAATAAAATATTCTGAAATAAAATAAGAGATATTGAGGAGCTGCCTGTGTGTGAAGAGCCAAGTTCTCCCAGATTTGTCACTCTCCTGCTTAACCTGCAGTGGTCCCAGTACCTCCAAATTTGGTTCACACTCCTAAGCTTGACATTCAAAATGCCTCGTCATCTATCACCTGTCTGCTTCTTTGCCCTTAGCTCTTGACACTGCTCTCATCTCCTGAGATGCCTATGTTATACCCAAACCTAATTATTTGCAGTTCCCCACTATAATTTCATAGGACTATGCCTTTGTAAATATTTCTTTTCTTGCCTGCTTGAAAAACTTGAGCCAGCCTTTCTGAGCCGCTTTAAGACCTGGCTCAGAAATCACGCCTTTCAGTAAGACTTGCCTTAGTTCCTCTCTATATGTTATGTATACCTTTATTAGCAAACGTAATATGCTATCCCAAAGTTATTCATTTACATACTTAGAAGATATATAGAAATAAAATATAAATCCAAGCCATTAGTGTGTAAGCTCTTTGAGGGCAGAGACCTATCTAGTTAATCTTGATATCTCTAGTGTGTGTGGCACAGTATCTGCTGAGAGAAGAGCACTCAAAATTTTATAAATGCATGGATGGATAAGAATGAATTAATGATATGTGGCTGAAATATTTCTTCCAGTTTGATATTTCTTTTTTTTTTCTTATGGACCACTTCACGAATTTGCAGTTATCCTTGCACAGGGACCATGCTAATCTTCTCTGTATTGTTCCAATTTTAATATATGTGTTGCTGAAGTGAGCACCGATATTTCTTAATATAGTAACAATCGAGTAAAACTTGCATCTCTCCTGCGGACTCCACGTTGTCTCTCTCCAGGCCAGCACAACAGGTGCTACTGCCGACATTATAATGGGGTTCCTGTAACAAAACACTTCACTGAGTGTCCACTGTACAGTTGGCGCAGTCTTCACATAGGGAAAGGTTAACTTAAAAACACACCAAATTGCCGAGTATTCTATCATTTTAAATTTTGACAGTATACTTTTAAGCAGATGCTTGAGTATCTCTTCCTGCACATAGCTAGCATCGCTCTCAACAAGCTACGATAGCAAGCTGTCTTCTTTGGCAAATTGATTATGGGCATGACTCATATGCCTGTTGCATGACATTTCAATAACATAGTCATTTGTGTTTATGGAGTGTTATCGTGGCGCTGAAATCACTCGCGAAGCTTCTACTACCAGTGGAGGGACACTGTTTGCTGAAAGCACCGAAGAGAAGCTCAACTGAGAAAGTGCTGCAAAGGTCTAATTCCTGTCCCAGCCCCGCCCCGTGACAAACTGCCTCCTCTGGGCTTACAGTAGCACGGCTGTGGACGAGAGCAAAACAGCCTTGCTGGTACCCTTCGCGACTTGGTTGGCTGGAGAGCTGGAGCCTGCCTATGGGCCACCTGGAGAAACTGCAGAGCTAGCTCTTCCCAAGTCTCAAAAGCAGAGAGGTCATGAGCGGGTGAGGCTCACAGGGCCAAGAGGCAATGGGGAGAAGGAGAGGCAATGGGAGCCTGCCGCAGTGGCAAGGGAGAAGTGAGATCAGCTAGTGGATTTGAGAGTAGAAATAAGGGAGAAAACCATGAATGGAGAGCCAGGGATGGGAAAGGGTGGGTGGGGACCAGTGCACCAGCGTACAGCTTCCACCTCAACCTCAGGATCTGCACAGCGTCCTGTTGGGGAGAAGGAGGTGTGAGTCTTCGGTCCTTGGAAGCTAGGACTGGGCAGGAAGGTCGGCAAGGGGCCTCACCTTCAGTCCCGCAGCAAGAACAGGGCTGAGTGGAAAGGAGGGAAATGCACCAGAAGCCTGAAGTTTTCCAAGAACAACACAAATGAAACAACTGCAGAAATCTTAAGGATTAGGGAGAGGCTAACCAAAGTCCAGGCTGATGACCAGCAGTGCGCAACCCGAAGAACGATCAACATTTTCTTGCACAATCCCTCACTGCATGCTGGCAGCAGTGATGGCAGTATGCATTCAAGAAGTCAAGTTGAGTCGGCGCGTGGCTCAAGCCCGGTATCTGGCACTCTGGGATGCCAAAGGTGGGCGGATTGCTTGAGTCCAGGAGTTCGAACCAGCCTGAGCAAGAGTGAGACCCCGTCTCTACTATAAATAGAAAAATAATTTGCGCTACATAATTATTTGGGAAGAAAATGCTGGCATGGTGGCGCATCTGTAGTCCAGACTATGGAGGGCTGAGGCAGAAGGATTTGCCTTGAGCCAGGAGGTTTTAAGGTTGCTATGGCTAGGTTGATGCCACAGCACTCCCTCTAGCCCTGGGCATACAAAGCTGACGACTCTGTCTCAAAAAAAAAAAAAGAAGGTCTAGTGGGGCCAGCGTACTTAAGACAAAACAACTTCCTATTTTACTTTAGAAAATACCTAGAGACCAGAGCTTCAGGTAAGAAAATCAATAAATTGCAGTGCTTTATATGTACTGCTGTGAAAAGTGGAAGGAAAGTGTTACTCCCTTTGCATTTTGAATCTCATGGTTGTGAGGGCAGCTGAGTGTCAGGACAGGCAAGCGAACAAACGGGCAAGCACACTGTGGTTCATCTACACACGGGAGATGGTGCTGAGGCCTTTATGGTGACTGCATCTAGAAGGAGAGGTGATGGTCTCAGTAACTGCTCAGAAAAGACCAGTGGAAAACTTTACAGGGGCCAAGGATGGGAAAGGACCTTTTTATTTATTTATTTATATTTTAAAGCCAGTCAAATTTATCAGTGGGGGGTTGAATATCAACTTTAGTGACACTAATGTTAATAAGTTCTGATAACCCACTACCATCGGACCAGCCAGAAAGACCTTTTTAAAGCAGCACCTTTCATCTTGGATAGGTAAAAGCTGAGAAATAACATGATGCGAATCTATAAAAACCATAAACAGTGAGGATAGACTCAACCTGAGTCTGTTTATAAAATAAGGATTAAAGGGCACCCTTTGAAACTTTTTTGAGATAAGCTTAGAATACATATTTTTATTTATTTATTTATTTTCTTGAGACAGGGTTTTGCTCTGTTGCCTGGGCTAAAGTATAGTGGTATCATCATAGCTCACTGCAACCTCAAACTCCTGGGCTCAAGCAATCCTTCTGCCTCAGCCTCCCAAGTAGCTGGCACTACAGGCACATGCCACCATGCCCGGCTAATTTTTTAATTTTTTTGTAGAGATGGGGAGATCTTGCTATTTTCCCCAGGCTGGTCTTGAACTCCTGGCCTCAAGTGATACTCCTGGCTCAATCTCCCAAAGAGCTGGAATTACAGGTGTGAGCCACTGTGCCCGGCCTAGAATGTATATATTTTATTTTATTTATTTTTTTTTGTTCTCCCCGAATGTATGTATTTTAAAGGAATATTTTATATAGCAAGTGAAAAAAAATCTTTAAATGATTTGGACACATTTATGAATGACAAGCTACTAAGCAAAATTATGCTGTCGAACTTCTAGGGATAATGTTAGCTAGAATAGCCATGCCCTCTAACAAAGGACTGCTGTTGGTGACAAAACAGCATGCTAGACAGATTAGATTCCAAGTGACAAAACCTTTATTCTTGTAAGATAAAATTCCTACAAACATTATGGAAACTAAGTGGTATTACTACCACTGATTTTATAATTTATGACACAAGATACTAGGTGATGTGTCATTTAGGTAACATCGTATTAACCAAAGAAGAATGACATTAACTACTTTCAGATTTAAACAAACATTATGGAGAACAATTCTATATGTAAGCAGAAAGATTTAAATGTATATCCTACAGTGGGCCAGGTGCTGTGCCTCATGCCTACAATCACAGTACTTTGGGAGGCCGAGGTGAAGGGTTGCTCTAGGCCAGCAGTTTAAGACCAGCCTGGGCAAAAGAGTGAGACTCTGTCTCTACAAAAAAGAGGAAAAATTAGCCAGCGGTGGTGGTAGACACCTGCCGTCCTAGGTACTTGGAAGGCCAAGACAGGAGGATCACTTAAGCCCAGGAGTTTGAGGCTGCTATGAGCTATGATTGTGCCACTTCAGTCAAGCCTGGGTGGTAGAGTGAGACCCTGTTTTCTAAAAAGAAAAAAAAATCCTGTAATAGAAATCTTCCTATACAGATGAAGGAAACCTTTTGAAGTTAAAGAAATTGAAAATATGCTTTTAAAACTTCTTCAACTAAATTTATAAATTAATCAAGAGAATAAGTGAAGACAGGTGACTGCTATATAATCTCAAATAGAAACATCAGAATATCCATAATATTATAAAGTAATGCCAGAAAGAAAGAGTCAAAGATGTTTACATATAGCAATAGATAGCACCTAAGTAGAGGCAGGAGCTATTGTTAGCATTTAAATACTTATAAATATTGTTTATGGCTTTTTGAAAGTATCTTTATGGTCATAAGTAAGTTTGATAGTATCCCAATAGTAAATTTTAATTTCTGTTGTTTTTCTCAGAAATGGGGAAGATTAAAGCGAAAATTGGAACAGGTAAGGCTATTTATAAAGAAATGATTCCTCTGTTGCTTTTGTGAAAGTCTAAAAAAAAGAGAGAGATAAGATGGAACTTTTAGAAGTCTGTAAGGCAAAGATTAACCACCCATAAAAGAATGAGCAAAGAATATGAACTGGTAGTTCACTGAAAAGAAATATGAATGTACTCAACAAAACACACAAAAGAATACCCAACCTCACTGTAATTCAAAAAAGTGCAATTAAGGCCAGGTGCAGTAGCTCACTCCTATAATCCTAGCACTTTGGGAGGCCAAGTTTGGGAGGATCACTTGAAGCTAGGAGTTCAAGACCAGCCTGAGCAAGACTGAGACATCATCTCTACAAAAAATAGAAAATCAGCTGGGCGGAGTCCCAGCTACTTGGGAGGCTGAGGCAGGAGGCTCACTTTGAGCTCAGGAGTTTGAGCTTGGGTGAGCTGTAATGAGAAGACTGCACTCTAGCCTCAGCAACAGAGTAAAATCTATCTCAGAAAAAAAAAAAGCAAATTAAAATAACAATGATATACCATTTTAACCTATCAAATTAGCAACTTTTATCTTTAAAATTTAATAATAAGGCCAGGCGTGGTGGCTCATGCCTGTAATCCTGGCACTCTGGGAGGCTGAGGTGGGTGGATTGCTCGAGATCAGGAGCTCGAAACCAGCCTGAGCAAGAGCGAGACCCCGTCTCTACTATAAATAGAAAGAAATTAATTGGCCAACTAATATATATATATAGAAAAAATATTAGCTGGGATTGGTGGCACATGCCTGTAGTCCCAGCCACTCAGGAGGCTGAGGCAGCAGGATTGCGTGAGCCCAGGAGATTGAGGTTGCTGTGAGCTAGGCTGACGCCATGGCACTCACTCTAGCCTGGGCAACAAAGTGAGACTCTGTCTCAAAAAAAAAAAGTTTAATAATAAAACATGTTGGCTGGCAAGTGAGGAAACATGCACTACTGGTGAAAGTACACATATTTGTAACTTTGGAAGGAAATTTGGCAATATTTGTCAAAAATTCAAGCACATATATACTTCACCTAGAGGTTCCTTTTCTAGAAATCTATCCTACAGATAAATTCACACAAGAACAGAAAGATGTATAATCAAAATGATGTGTTTCTGAATTATTTAATAGTAAAAATAAAAAGTAAAACAAGAAGTAAATTCTGAAAGAAAGGAAAGAAAAACAACAGAGGAAGGAGATAGTGTTCTCTACCGTGATATGAAATAATATCCAAATATACATTTTAATATTATTATTATCATTATTATTATTATTATTTGAGACAGAATTTTGCTCTGTTGCCCGGGGTAGAGTGCTGTGACATCGTCATAGCTCACTGCAACCTCAAACTCCTGGTCTCAAGCGATTCTCCTGCCTCAGTTTCCTACAGCTTTCTGGGACTACAGGCACTTGCCAGGGTGCCTGGCTTATTATTCTATGTTTAGTAGAGACTGAGTCTCAGTCTTGCTTAGGATGATCTGTAACTCCTAAGCTCATTCGATCCTTCCACCTCAGCCTCCAAAGGGTGCTAGGATTACAGGCATCAGTCCCAGCAGACCAGCCCTCCATATTTTTAATTGAAAAACATAATACAGTATGTATAATATAATACTATTTGTATAAAAATGAAAAGGAGATCTCTATACTCCTTGTAGTACATAGAAAACTTCTAAAAGGATATACAGTGGTTGTTATTAATAGCTCAGGAGAGTGCATCAGAAAGGTGGGGAAAGAGGTTTTATTTCTTAACTTACAACCTTCTTTACTATTTGAATGTTTTACCATGGGCATGTATTACTTTTGAAATAAAAAGCTACTTTTTTTCACTTTTGCAAATGAGAAAGATAAATTCAATCAGGTTAAGGGAAGTTTCTGTAGAGAACATGGAGGGTTTTTTAAAAATTTTGTCAACTTTCTTAAATAATATTTGTTCAACTCTATTGAACAAGTAAATGGTAAGAGTCTAAATTCAATCTCACTGTCTACTGATCTATCTGCCCATCCATCAGTTCTTGGTAATAGATATTAACAGTTGTGCCTGGGGAAATGAAGGGCGCTGAGAATTTCTAGTCTGTCCTCTCTATATCCATGATACAGGTAAAGCTGAGGTCGTTAGCCCTATCAGAAATTGATTCCTCCTGTTTGGTTTTGTGAAAGTCC